GCACCAGAGCCAGATACATTAGCATGTGTGTTTTAATCGTGGAAAAGGAAATTTTATTTTATGCAATTAATACGAAGTAGTTAGTAACCAACAAAAATGATATTTTTGTCGATAAAACAGACGGCTTTAGCATCCTCTTAAGAGTATCTCGTCGGTGTCAAAATTCAAAATGGCGGATTCAATATGGCGAATTCGTAAATTTTATGAAAATGTATATCTGGGGATTCTCGGAGTCGCTGATTACGAATCCATAATCAGATTCCCGAAATTCAAGATGGCGAATCCAATATGGCGACTATAATCCGATAAACAGTGCTAATTGAGTATAAAATCGCTGAATCCCCAGATATACGTTTTCATAAAATTTGCATCATTTTTCAAATTCGGGTCCGCCATATTGGATTCGCCATCTTGAATTTTAGAAATCTGGCCACGGATTCGTAATCAGCGACTTCGAGAACCTCCAGATATACATTTTCATTAAATTTGCGTCGTTTTTTGAATTTGAGTCCATCATATTGGATCCGCCATTTTGAATTTTAGAAATCTGGCCACGGATTCGTAATCAGCGACCCCAAAAACCCTTGAGGGAAGATCTTTGCGTGGAAACTGAAAACTTTCGGAGATAATGAATTTTCTCCAGAAAAATTGCTATTTTTTAACGTTTGTTTATTTGTATAAACAAAATCACCCATGATTTCGAATTATTGCACTTTGATTCTTATTCTTGAATGTATATCTGATACCAAAACACAAAAAAAGTTCGAAAATTGAGTGAAAACTACCCCAATTCAGGAAATGGTTATGGAAAAGGTGACATTCCACAATGCCACCGTACTTGAAATGGTTAAACTTTTGAGGAATAATTTAAATAAATTGATTGTACTAATTCTTCAAGACATTTTCAGAGATATTTATTTCTTTAATTCTATGTATTCTTTAAAATAAATTTTTTCTAAACTTCTATTCATCTCTGTATTATTTAGGATATAAGAAATAAATAAAAACCAATTGCTAATGAGTTTATGATGAATAAACAATTTTTTTTCTTTGAAAAAAATAAAAACCAATTGCTAATAATGAGTTTATGATGAATAAATAATTTCTTTTTTCTTTGAAAGGTGTTGCACCTGCTCCTCGATCAGGCTGTATATTGCTTCCAACTCCAGACAATAAAATTGTCGTATATGGCGGATATAGCAAGGAGAAAGTAAAAAAGAATATTGACCGTGGTTGCATTCATGATGATATGTTTCTCCTGACGCAAGCGGACAAAAATGATGTAACCAAATATAAATGGATCAATGTGAAACAAACTGGAATCAGAATAAATCCAAGGTGTGGCGTTTCCGCCGCGTTAGTTCAACCCAATCAGGCTTTCGTATTTGGTGGTGTTTACGATGATGACGATGATGATGAAGATTTGCATGGAACATTTTACAACGATTTGTTTGCATTAGATTTGGAGAAGTTATGCTGGCGTATTGTAACATTAACAAAAAAAAAAGAAGTGACTGTTGCTGGTGGCCCCGAAGGACGACGAAGAAGAAGAAAACAGAAAGAAGAAAGTGGTGAAGAAGCAGAGCAGAGTAATGATTCTGACAAAGAAGTGGTGGAAGATCTTTCGAGTTCCATGCAATCCACAGTTATCGTAGATGACGACGGAATATTCACGGTATTGTGCCACTTTTTTGTTATATTCACGGTATTGTGCCACTTTTTTGTTCTTATAACTATGATTAATATAAATAATAGCACAGAGAGGAAGGAGCAAGTTACAAATTTGAGATTTCTTTTTCTTAATATTTTTGCTCTACTAGTTACAAGATTCTGGCTCCAGATTCCTTTTTTATTGATAACCTAGCCAGCCAATATCATGTGATATAGATTTTAATTATTTTAAAAAAGAGATAATTTTTTTCTATATCTTTTTCTTCTTTGAGAAAGAGAGAGAGAGAGAGAGAGAAATATGTTAACACTTAGAAATTTTCAATGGTTGTTATTCATTTAGAATAGACAAAGTATATGTTTCTAGTTACTATCAAAAATTTCATTAATACATGATACAAAATATATTATACATTAATACGTGATATAAAAATATATAGTATATACAGGGTTTTCAAAAAGTCGGAAACGATTGAATATCTCGAAAACAAAACATTTGTGAGATAAATATTTCAAAAATTGTAGGGTTTAAAAAGATCTATCTAGTCATCACATCCGTTTGATCTTGGCTGGCGTCGTTAAGGTCAGGGAAAGATCAATTTCAATTTTTTTAATAAAACCTCCTATTTTTTATTGCATATTCTTGTAGCTTATCTCAAGTAGCTTTCCAAAACGCTAGAATAAAATATTTTTCTATTAATCACTTTTTGAGTTATAAGGCTTGAAAATTATAGTACCACCGGCAATATAGCATTATCCAAAGTGTCCAAACAATGGCTGAAACCTTTTCTGAATGTTATTCAAGATCATGAGCTTGACAACATGTGTCAAGATTATGATCATTGGAGATTGTTGCTTTTATTTTCATTTTTGAAAATCATATTCATTTTTATTTTTTGAAAAAAAGAGAAACAACCTCCAATGATCATGACGTTGACACATGTTATCAAGTTTATAATCCTGAACAACATTCAACAGATTTCAGCCATTGGGACACCTTAGATAATGCTAATGCCGGTGGTACTGTAATTTTTAAGCTTTATAACTCGAGATTTATTTAACCAAAAAACATTTTATCTATGAAAAGCTCTCGAAATAAGCTACAAGAATATGCAATGAAAAATGGGGGAACCCATTTAAAAAATTCAAAGTAACCTTGTCCTGACTTTGACGACGCTACTCAGGATCAAACCAATGTTATCATCTTATGTCCCCCTTGAAACCCTACAATTTTTGTCTGAAACATTTTTCTCTCAAACCTCGCGATTTCCAAATATTTGGCTGTCAAATATAAAATGGGACACTCTATACATATACATATATACATATATATGCCTCGGTCAATATTCTTCTTTATGTATGTGTGTGTATAGGTAACAATAGGTTCAGTGGAGTCATCTACAGCTTCTTCATCATTTCTTCAACCAAACTCGGCAGTAACAAATGACACAACGACATTTTTTCCATTACCGCGAATAAATGCTGGAATGGCGGTAAAGCACAATATATTGTACTTGTACGGCGGTATGATGGAAGAAGGAGATCGGCAATACACTTTTTCTGATTTCTACAATTTAGGTACGCTCTTACTAATTTATATATTATTTGTATTTCCTTATTTTTTAAAGTAACGTCCTTGTTAATTTTTTATTTTGTTTATTTAATTTTATTTCGTTAAAATTATCAATACAAATATATGTATATACACGCACAGTGAGAATTAGGAAGAAAAAGAGGAAAAGAAAGAGAATAGCGGTCATATTTTTACGTAAAAAACATAGTTTAATTTTTAATCTTTATATGTGTTCTTTAGAACGTTTATAAAGATATCACATTTTGAAACTATCTTTATTTTGTTCAACTAGCAATAAATTTTTTATTTATTTTACGAATATAAGAATTTTGTAAATCCAATCTTTTATATAGAATTATATAGTTCGTGAGACAGAAACAAAGTTTACACTATGATAATAGCGGGTTAAATAAAATATTGGGCTTAAATAAATATTTTTATTGTTTTTATTGTATCCGTTTTTTTATATCTGTCAGATAATTATAAAGATATATAAGTGCTTTAATACTCACGACAGCAGTTTTTTAGATTTAAGTGAACTGCTTATACTGTCTATTTTAAAAAATAAATGTAATTTGATGAAAAGTAATACGGAAAAATAATTCGAATATTTTTTCGCAACTTAACTTATAACTTATAGAGTTTGTAATTAAATTTTTTAAAATTCTATCTATAACCAATCAATATCGCCTCCATCTTTTCTTTCTATATAATCAAACACTTTTTATTAATTAATACAAATTTTTGAAAATTTTTCCTGACCTAACCTTATAGGCGTAACTTATATTGGTCACTTACAATTATAGTAAAAATTATTTGGTGAACAACAATAAATTCTAATTTTCATGTATTAATATGTAATTCATTTTTACGTATTAAGGCGATGCTGGAAGATCAATCAAATTTGTACGAGGTCGATAAACCAGTCTGCTTAATTTATGACAATATTTGATTAATATGAAAATTCTACAGTTTATATGTGCAAATTGCCATTCTTCGGACAACACAAAAGAACAACACTGAATTGTTAAAACTAGGATAAAAGCTTATAAAAAAAGTTATTCTAAATAAATCTGCTAAAATAAAAGTACGTACATCTGCATGAAATCTTTAAAAATGAATAACTTTTTTTATGGACTTTTATCCTAATTCTAACAATTCAATGTTGTTCTTTTTTGTTATCCGCAGGGTACTTTCAATTTGCATATATAAACTGTAGAATTTTCCTATTAATCTAATTAATCAAATGTTGTCATTGAATTTGAGCAGACTGCTTTATCGACCTTATACAAATATCACTAAATACGGAAAAATTTGCACGAGGTCAAAACAGACTCTTCAGTGTCAGTGGTATCTCTAACAATAAATGAACTTCTTACAATTTGTCTTTTGTCTCACTAAACACGTGCAATTTTCTTATCTAACTTATTAAACGCCATTATTGCCTCTTTTGCAAAATCCGGCACTTACTGCTAGACACTTTGCTTATCGACTTATCATTCTGTGTCTTAGGGGCTGTCTACAATACGTCGTATGTCAGATCGTAAGCCGTAAATCGTAGGAATTGGCCAATCACAGTTGAATGTAAGAAAAATATTCGACTATATTGGTCAATTCTTAGTTAGTATGATATGAGTAGTGATTAGGCTTATTGTAGAAAGCCCTTTAGGAGCTTTCTACAATAAGCCGTTAGTCACTACTTATATCATACTAACTAAGGGGCTTTCTACAATAAATCGTTAGTCACTACTCATATCATACTAACTAAGAATTGACCAATCGTAGTCGAATATTTTTCTTACATTCAACTGTGATTGGTCAATTCTTACGATTTACGATCTGACATACGACGTATTGTAGACAGCCCCTTAGGTTTTCAATCATAGCTCAAAAGACTTTATATTATTTGTGCATGTAATCCGATTCGGGGGACGTAAGAATTTTGTACATATGAGATACAGAACTTTTACACTAATAAAATGTTTACGTCAGTAGTCAGGTAATAGCTGTACGACTCGAAAAAATGTAATTTTTAATTTTTTTCTGATTTGAATATGATACAAAATGAATAGATATATTTTTTGACATTAGTCAAAATTTAAGGATGCTCTGGTGTTTTTTTGTTAAAATGTATTTTTATTTTTTGTAGATTATAATCCACAAAATAATATTAAAAAATATATTGTTACGCCCGCGGCGCGTTCTCGTAAATGTTACACTCGCAACTCTCACACACTACCGTACTCGCGAAAGAACACCCGGAGAAACGTTTAAACGGGAAGTTTATTAACAGAAAATACAGAACTGTTCAGTGTTCACTCAATTTGTAGCAAGATCCAAGATAAACAACGGTTGCTAGAAGAATGATCTTCTGCTGTCTGCCTCTATGAACGGACGATCCTCGCGGCTAAGCTCGCTCCGTTTACGCAAGGGCGTAACAATATATAAAGATTTGATATAAATTTAATCTTGAAGATTACATGAGAATTATTTTGAGAATAAAAATAGGATTATATTAAAGTAATTAATTTTAAAAATAAAAATTTCTCATTCATTATTTTGCACACAAACTATAAAAAAAAAAGAACAATTATAAAATATTACAATATATTTTCTTAATTTATTGCATTTTTTAATATATGTTTAATATATTTCATTGTTCGTTGATTATTTGCAGTGAGTTTATTGCTAATTTTGGTGACATATCATATATAATTGTTATAGTCATCAAATTAAAAGTGAAAAAAAAAATTATTGTATGATTCTATTTAAAAATTATTTTAAAATATAATAACTTTTAGGATAATCTTAAAAAGGGAGAGAACAAATTTTTTTTAATATATTATATTTTTATTTTGTTTTTCTTCTAAAATATATTTATTCATGTTATATACTCGTATATGATGCAGATTGCCGAAAACTGGATGAATGGAAAACTCTGATAGCGGATGATTTGTCATCGCAAACATGGTTCGAGTCTTCGGAAAATTCAGAAGAGGATGAAAATGAAGATAATAGTGAGCAAGAAGAGAGTGATGATGATGAACCAGTGAATGTTAATGATAAGAACTGAGCGAAAGAAAATAATAAATAATGAAAATCGACATGTATAATTTTCATCTATATTTAAATAAATGTACATTTTATTACAATCAAATTATGTGCACATCAATTCATTCATTTCTTTATTTCGTGTATAAAGTGTTAAGGTAAGGTTATCAGACTATTAGTTTACGAGATATTAATACTTTATTCTGACATATAAAGAAAGGATATCTTTATTAAATTATGTTTATCTGTATCCAAATATTACAAACATAAAAGGTCATAGTCATTTTTTTGAATAAAATATCCAACAATTTTTCTTATATAGTATAATTTCTTTGAGTCTCCTGTTCACTTGCCACTACTATCTCAGATTGTGATATCATAAGCTAGGAAATACACAATAAAAACATTTGAATACAAAGAGTTTTGGTATTATTAGTGTTATTGATTGGACACGATTTATATATACATATATAAAATTTAAATACATATATATAAATTATAAAACATCACACATTATTACTATCATCTATATCAATATCGTACGCATATATATTCATTTTTTATATCGAATTAGTCTAACAAGGGAACCTCGCGAAGTGTGAAATTCTGCTTTTAATGAAACTTGATACACTTTGAGGTCACATAAATAGATGAATTTAGAAATTATCAGTTTGTGTTAAAAAACGGTTTAAAGGGATGGAACCATCTCTTATATGTAAATTAATTTTTTTCGATTATATCTCAAAAACTATTCAAGATATCAAAAAATGTTTTGTATAAAAGTTTTACAGTAAAATTACCTCTATTCATTTACGTTAATAGAATTTTTTTTAAATGATTTTCAAAAATTTTTTTAAATATAATTATTCTAAAAAAATATTAACGTAAATGAATAGAGGTAATTTTACTATAAAACTTTTATATAAAACATTTTTCGATATCTTGAATAGTTTTCGAGATATAACGAAAAAAAAATTAATTTACATATAAGAGGTAATTTCATCCCTTTAAACCGTTTTTTAGCACCAACTGATAATTTCTAAATTCATCTATTTATGTGACCTCAAACTGTATCAAATTTCATGAAAATCAAAATTTCACACTTCGCGAGGTTCCCTTGTAAGTCTAATTCCAAAAACTCGACGTTGTTTCCTCACTTGATGTAATCTCCTCATATGTCTGGAGACTCCAATTTTGTAAGTACAGATTACAAAACTTTTATACTAATTAGCAAATGTCAAGATTTGACAGCTCTAGACGTCACACTAAGACAAACGAAGTAATGGTAAAGATTTGAATTTTTAATATTTTTCTTGTTCCCGACATAAAATTTGCGCTTACAATTAGTAAATATTTATTAATGTGTATATTTTAGAGATGTGCGAATCAATTAGCATGGTCGAATCGAATCAAATTAAGTTTTTTATAACATGTTCGAAATCGAATCGAATCTCTTTAATTCGAATACGAATCGAATCTGAATCAAATTTTCCCAAATTAACATTACATGTTAATTTAAACGTAATAAATATCAAAATTTATGATTTACAATACAATACAATTTTACGCAATGATTTAAACAAACTGAAGACCTGTTTTCAATTTACATCTCATTACAAAGGACCGTGATCTTATGTGACATTTTGAACTAGAAAATATTAATAATATGTGTATACACAAATAGTTAGAATATCTTCAAATATTTTATTAATCTATATGAATACATTATATGTATCAAAAGTACTTATTTATTAGATAAGAATAATTGGTCGCGCAGGAGATGTAAATGAACCAAATAAAATAGACGATCGATTCGAAATCGTACCGTTGTTGATTCGAAATTCTCGAACTATTATTCAATTTCGAATCTATGCAGATTCGAAAACGAACTCTACTATGATTCAATTCGATTCGATTCAAATTCGTGTATATTATCTTAATAAAATTTATAAAGAGAGAACATCTTTATTAAATTATATTTAATTATGTCCACAATAAAAAATATATTGCTTCATTGATAGAAGAACGTACGTATCTCAATATTAGCAACTTTTCAGCAGAACATTTTTTATTTAAAATTCTAAGTCTAAATTCTAAATGGATAGATTGATACACGATGTTTTAAGAGAATGCTGACATCTGTTTTATCAATTAAATGCAATAAATGCATAACTTTTTCTATATATTTTTTTTGCAGATTTAGAAATTATTTACCATAAATAGGTATACTAGAGGTGTGCGAATAGTTCGAATTTAAATTAAATTGAATTGAATCACAGTAGAGTTTATATATATATATATATATATATATATATATATATATAATAAAATTTATAAAGTTACATATACATATACAGGGTGTCTTAAAATCTGTGTTAAAAATTGTTTCTCATTTTTTCGAAAAATAAAAATTTTCAAAAATGAAAATAAGAGCAACAACTTTTAATCGCCTTGATCGATTTAATTTTTTCGACTTTAATTAACCTTGATCTTGATTATGTTGTCAAGATCATGATTCTGAACAACATTCAAAAGTTTTATCCAGTTCAAACACCTTGGATAATGCTAATGCCGACGGTACTACTGCAACTTTCAAGCTTCGTAACTCGAGATTTATTTATCCAAAAAATATTTTATCTAAGTATTTTGAAAAGCTTTTAACATCGGCTATTAGATTATGGAAAAAATAGGGTGTCCCATTTAAAAAAAATTATGTAACTTTGACCTAACCTTAGCCACCCAAGGTTACAATCATGCTGCTATCTGCAATTGTGTCTCTTAAAACTCTAAAACTTTTAACTGAAATATTTTTTTGATAAAAGGTGCAGGAAAAAAGATATTTCAGATGGAACATTAAAATGGCCCATCCTGTGTGTGTGTGTGTGTGTGTGTGTGTGTGTGTGTGTGTGTGTGTGTGTGTGCGTGCGTGCGTGCGTGTGTGTGTGTGTGTGTGTGTGGGTGGGTGGATGGGTGAATTGTGCGTGCGCGCGCGCGCGTGTGTATGGTTATAGATGCAGTGAATTATATAAAAAGATCTTTCTAGTAAATAATTTATAAAAATAGACATTTAATTATTTTACTGCCCTGTACATAAAAACATAAAGTTAACATAATTATTGAAAAATGTATGCATACATGAATATTTCGTATTTTATGTCAGAGTATGATAGAATAAAATATAAAATATCTTGTAACAAATCTTTAGCAATTATCTCAATTCTTGTATACACAATAATGCAAAAAATAAATCTGTGTTAAAAATTATATTATTTTGTTTAAAAATAAAGATAATTTATATCTCAAAAACAACTCCGCTGTAACAAAGTTATGCTAATCATAAAATATCTTTCTTAGGACAAAGCAAATTTGCTAATATTCTTTAAATAACTGTCAATGCAGCAGTAAAACATGAACATTGTAGTATTAAATATTTATAACACTTGTACATATTGATTTGGTGATTTTCATTATAATTTACTAAGCAATATAGCCAATCCTTGTAATTTCAGAACAGCTTTTATATCTTTCTAACTCTATATAAACTGTATCATAAAAAAATTGTAAATTATACTGAAAATACCCAGTAGTTATATTGGATGAAAGTATTCAGGTTTCTAATAATGTTAAATTTCTTATTCCAACCATTAAGAGAAAGTATAAACAGAAATTTTATAAATTCACCTAAAATTATTGCTCGTAAATATAACAAATATAAGTAATTATTTATAATAGATTTAGCTTTTCAACTTTTAAAATCATTTTCAATAATATTTTATTGCAATCATTTCAATGTCGACGAAGATTACAAACGTAAGGGAATATGTTCTATATCATGCAGTTTGGCAATAAATTAAACTGCAACAAGATATATTTATTTTATGACTAGACTCTTGGAACTTTGAAGTGATGAAAAAACGAATGGTTTGCTGTCAAAATCACAGCTGGTTTTTCTTGTCTTCCGATATGCTAACTTTGCGATCCTTTAAATTAATCACGATGACCGTGATGTTATCCGCAGATCCTCTACAAAATATATTAAGAATACATTAATGACATTTATGTAACATTAGTTAATTCTTACTTAATGATAAGCTTAACTTTTAAGTTAAATTTTTTACTATAAAAGTGATAAAAAATATCTAAATTTATAATTTAGCAAAAAATCGATTAATTATTTTTTATTTTTCATAATTTTGTTTTAATTATATTTCTTTTTAATTTTAAGTTTTTTAAGCGATAAATAAATATGAACTGAGAATCCCTTTTAATTGTAAGATCATTTTTTCGGTCTATGCTGACATTAAACATTTTCGGTAAACTGATTTTTCACTTGTCAGTTTATTGAATATGATACAATGAGTAGTAAAAATAATATTTTATTAAAAAATAGAATTACTTTTGAAAAATCTGTTACGTTTCTTTTTGTGGGAACTGTCTCTGTCATCACATGATACTATATCTATTATATACACATATTTAAAAAATTTGTACAAATCATTAAAAATATAAAAAGAATTTCCTCACTACTTTTAATAATTTTGAAGAAAACATAAAGCATATACTTTTAAATATATCCTATATATACAGGGCGAGGCACTTAAAACACCTGAACAATTTTTAACGAAGCACTCCCGAATACGCACTGTTCCTGACCGAACATCCGCCGGATGCCGCCCAACCGACCATCAGTTGGGCGAAGAGCGCACATAATATCTCGCGACTTAAAGCCGGATGATAACGGTTCCTCGTTACCAAAGTTCGAGTATGTCGAAGTTGGCCAATCGTGACCGAAAAGTATTTTTGCGTTGTCTTCCTGTCGCACTCCACATCTAACAATAAGTTTGAGTTAGAAGCACACAGGATATACCGCTTTTCTGTCCGCGCGATTCACAGTTGCTCTCATATATCCTTGCAATTACATTCGCAGTTCAACATTTAAATCGCCTTACCAAGCATTTAAATACCATCGTATTTACGTTTACCTGTAAGGATCGCGTTCGCACGCGTCGAAGCCATGCACGTGTCATACCGCGACGTGCGTCTTCTCGGCCCGGTACCTGATGGCGCCGCTCGCCAGCCCGCGCTACGTACCGACGACTACTTGTGCGTTTCGTGATAATTGTTATAACTTATAATTGTTGTACCCACACAACTAATTTGTAATTGCGATATAATCGGTTTCAGATATTTGCAAAATATTCGAAAAAATTTTTGGACATCACTTGCCGTCTAAATTTTCCGTTTTAATACGTTACGTCTTACATATCGTTTTAATTATTGCGAGATTTATGTGAAATTATTGTTCTCAATTTTCTTTTATTCACTTTATTTATTTTATTTATTCACTATAATGTATCAATCGTTTCGCGTGTTACGTGTCATTCCTAAATTTGTTTTGTAAAATAAATGTGCCGTGTTTAAATTCAACCGGCGAGTAGTTATTCAAGTACGCTTTCGTTATCTCCTTCCTGAACCTATCTGCGATCCGTGAACGCGTATAATCCGACGAACTATACCGAGTATCGAAGGCAGGTCGTTTTTAATTTCTGAATGGTTCGAGATATTGGATTGAAAGAAGAGTGTGCAAAAATGGCCATTTTTGGCCCTGAACGGACACCTTTTAAATCTATAAATTTATCATTTTGAAGGTCTAAACATTCATGAAAAAAAAGGTTATTTACCCAGGAAAGCTCGGAAAACCTTCCAAAAATAATAAAGTAGGCTGTTTGAATGCTTTACAAAAAAAACTCATTTAACACATGTTGGATCATTAAATACTGTAAGAATACACTACCAGGAAGATCCACAAATATATATATATATATATA